CTTTGGTGTATACATCTATCAGAAGTCATCTGCAATATGTGTAGTTTACTATACAAGAACCATACCACAATAAAGGTGTTAAAAAATAAAAAGAAAATTATAAACAAACAGGCAAAAACTTTCAAAGTCAAAAGACAGATTAAAAAAATGCAACTGAATTCACTGACAAAAGACTAATTGAATTAATTTATAAAGAGTTTCTACAAATGAATAAGAAAAAGATCAATTACTCAACAGAAAGAAGGGCAAAAGACTGAACAGATGCAAAGGAAAATAACAGCTCTCAAATCTTAGAAAAGATGTTCCACTTCATGTACAATAGATATCTGCACATTCAAAAAAATGAATATAAGAAATGACATTATGCAAAACTATTCACTGTCTATAATAGCAAAAGATGAGAAACAGCAAAACATCCAGCGATAGTGGCCTGGCTAAACAAACAGTGATGTGTCTATATGAAGGACTATTGTGACCATAAAAAGAGTGAGGCAGTTATACGTGCAGAGTATTTCCCAAACATACTGAGAAGTAGACACAAAACACCAGGGTACAAACAGTGCTAACAGTGTATTCTACCTTTGGTATGAAAAAATGCACGCACACATATGCGTGCACATACAGGCTTGCATCTAGAACAAAAGGCTGCTTCTGGAGAGTGGAACACAATGTAAAAGTCAAGAATGCAAGGGAGGGGGAGGTTATATAGCTCAAGTGGTAAAGTGCATGTTTAGCACGCATGAGGTCCTGCGTTCAATCCCCAGAGTCTCCTCCAAAAATAAATGAATAAATAAATAAACCTAATTACCAACCTCGTCAAAAAAAGACAAAAAAGAAGAAGAATGCAAGGGAGACTTATCTTACGCAGTTCTCAATTTGTACCCACTGAATTTTCAAAGATTTGCATATATAACTTATTCAAAAACTAGCAAAGCGGGGAGGGTACAGCTCAGTAGCAGAGTGCGTGCTTAGCATGCACGCGGTCCTGGGTTCAATCCCCAGTACCTCTATCTAAAAAACGAAAAAATAAATCTAATTACAACCCCCCCCGAACTTAGCTAATATAAAACAAAAATAACATCCCTAATCAACAACTAGCAGGTAACACACTAAAATACTAACAGTGGTGGGACTATCAGAGACTTCTGTCTCCTTTTTATGCTTTTCAGTGCTCAAAGACAAATTCTATCCCCTCCCCGCCCCCGTACACACACAAACCACAATGATCTGAATTTAAAGGAGGGGAGGCAAACAATCCAACTCCCTTAAAAAAGAAACCATTTAAATGCAATACAAACATATTCAATGGAAACCTGACTGCATTTCAAACAAATAGTATAATCATAGTGAAGTGGGAGAAAAAGAAGTGACCTACATAAACTGAGCACAGTATTTTAACAACATACCCTCAATCTAAAGATAAAAAGAACTCTAGATATCACATGCCAGTTAAGTAGGACTGTATCCTGCAGTGGTATGAGTAACGATTCTGAAACTACTTTTTGTGTTGCAGGATCAAACAAATGAATATTAAGGATAATTAGAGCCAAACTTCTCTTTACTAGAAAATAGTTTCAAATGTAGACAGGCAGAAGACTAGATAAACCCAGTGGTGTTGGACTGAAAGTGGAACAATCAGGTTGAACTCACTGATATGTTGGATGGATGGTGGGTGGTTTGCAAGAGTGGCTGGATTGGTGTGTACATACGTGCATATATACATCTACAATATGAATATGGAAAAACAGATAGATATGGAATATGTATCTGTGTGTGCACATGCACAAGTGCTCACATGCACAAGCACACACTTTTTTCCTGGCTCAGTCTGCTGAGAGGATTTGGAAGCAGTGACACTCCAGGCACAATGCACACACCTGAGGCACAGATCTTGGTTTCTAAATCCCATTAGACACTAAAAGGAACCAGGACTCCTTGGAGAAATGGCTAGTTCCAGGGTATGGCAGGCAAAGTACAAGTTGTCTAGAATATCCTGTTGTGATAGAAAGTAAGGAAGTGCTGAGAGAACGATGGGGCCATGTCAAAAGGACACAGCAGTCAGCTGGAAGAGACTTCCACAGGCCAAGTAGGGGATAATTTGGGCATGAAAGTAAGTAGTTATCTTGATGATGCCCCAGTGAATAAAATAACAGTCTGTGAGTTTATACTGATACGAACAAATGAATAAATAAATGGAGAAGAAAAGAAAGCTCTTCTTTCGGTAGAATGCCAACTAATAAACAAAGAAGGGATATTGTAATCAGAAAATCACCATTTTGCAACAGTAACAGTAATTATTAATTTTAGGCAAGAATGACTAATGGATGCTATAACTAGTGGGTAAAAGTTTGATAAGGAACAGGGTACTTACATAGTGTCAAGATACCTCATGACTTCCTTGTTAATTTTGAAATTGTAACTTTACAGTGAAGAAAGCCGGCAGACAGTACCTTAACTGACTGTGATCAAACATTAACATCAGCGCTAACAGGACAGACTGACACCTCATGACTCCAGAGATGATCCATGGAAAGGGCACTACATCTCTGGGGTGTCTCTGCCAAAAATGCACAATCTAAATCTTATCATGAGAAAATATCAGATGACCCAAAGGAGGGACATTCTACAAAGCAGCTGGCCTGTAATCTCAAAAAACTGTCAAGTTCATGACAGACAAAGGAAGACTGAGAAACTGTTCCCAATTATAGCAGACAAAAAATATGACAACCAAACACTGCAAAGATCCTAGATTGGATCCTGGGCCTGGGGGTAAAAAGAGCATTATAAGGACAAATGAAAAAATTTGAGTAAGTACAGATAATGGTATTGTATCGATATTAAATCTCCTGATTTTGACAACTTACTGTGTGGTTACATAAAAGAATGTTCTTGGTCCCCTCTCTCTCCCTCTTTGGAGACAGCTCACACTCTGCCTATGGAGTGTGTACCTACTTTTAATCTGAGCACCCAACCGCCACACTTCGTGGCCTTTCTCTTGCCTTTCAATGTATTTCTCTGAATAAATCTACCTTTACTCAAAAAAAAAAATGTTCTTGCTCTTAGAAAATACACACCATAAATGACAAAGCAAATGGGACAAAGTATTAACAACTGGTGAAGCTGGGTAAAAGGAAGAAGGGAGCAGTTCTTCATAATACTCTAAGTTTGAATTATATCTAAAGCTCAACAAAAAGAAAAAGAAAGATTATATTTCAATCAAAATTTCAGTTCCCTTCCCCCGACCCTGGTTTCAAATGACCAAAATGGCCCAAAGTACATTCACACGGAGGACAGCAGTTTCTGTGCTGCTTCTGTATTGCTGACCAGGACAGAGCACCCCTGGAAACACAAAGAAGGTTCTAGATAAAATCGTCCCACCTAGTTATGAACCCACAAAGCCCTAGGTACTGCTGAATAAATATTCACGGGCGCACAGGAAAAAGGAATGGTGGGGAGAAGGGTAGGGAGCACAGTGGAGGGGACCCCGGGAGGCCAGGCCCTGACACGCTCTCACCATGCCGGAGCCACCGCAGTAGTGGCAGTGCTGCACCTTGGTGCCAGGCTCGCTCCCCTTGCCGTCACACCGCTCACAGGTATCCATGATGTTCACCGTGAACTCCTTGTTGACGCCCTTGGCAGCTTGATTGAATGTCAACTCCATGATGTACTAAATAAATCAAAGGATGACCTGTTATCTCTCTAAAAGTAAGGGAGGGAGCTGGCCAGCAGTTTACAGTTACTTCACTTTCTCTTTTAAAGACTTTATTTGTTAAAGCAGTTTTAGGTTTCCAAAATTGAGAGGGAGGTACAGATATTTCCCACATACCCTTTGCCTCCACACATGCACAGCCTCCTCCATTATCAACATCGCCCACCAGAATGGTACTTTTTTTTTTTTAATCAAGGATGAAGCTATGTAGAGGGGAGGGTATAGCTCATGTGGTAGAGCACATGCTTAGCATGCACAAGGTCCTGGGTTCATTTCCAGTATCTCCTCCAAATATAAGTAAATAAGTAAACCCAATTACCTCCCCCTCAAAAAACAAAAAGCCAAAAAAAGATGAACCTATATTGACATATAAACGTTCAAAGCCCATAGTTTACAATAGGATTCACTCCTGGTCTTGTACACTCTCTGGGTCTGAACAAACATACGATAGCTTGTAGCCTCATTATAGTATCATGCAAAAAGTTTTCTCTGCCCTGAAAATCCTGTGCTCCACCAATTCATCTCTTCTCCCAATTATTTTACTTTTTAACTTACCTGTATTCTGTCAAGTAAGAATAGATGGCACTCACTTAACTGATTCTGCCCTGCTCCTTGGGATTTTTAGGAGTATTTTTTTTTTTAATTTAAGTGAAAATGTACTTTTCAATAAACTGAAAATGCTCAGGGATAACATTTGTACATGGTCCTTACTAACAGCTCAAATGATCCACAATCGTAACTTACATAATGAAACATTTCCCCTCTCTAACTCTGATAATATCTTAAACAAGACATAAATACAGAAGAGATGGTATTGGCACTACCTCCCTACTGGATTGAGCTCTCCAAGAATAATGACACAGGCTCTAGATAAAATACTCCCACTCTAATTATGGACTCTGAGAGCCTGAGGTGCTGCCTGATTGAGCAAACTGGTGCACCTTATTACTTACACAGTTCTCCAAATACTGGAACTATTTCCTACCAAGATGGCTACCCCTAAATCATTCCATTTAAGCCACTTTACCTTCTTCTTTGAGAAACAGAAACTGGCAAAATCTGTTTGCATCACACTGAGCAGCCAAAATTGGAATGATTCCTCAAAATGAGATGCTTACCTCCTGAGGCTGATTGAATACCCCCTGGAAATCTCCAAAAGAAGAGGATGAGAACTCCCCAAAAATCTTCCTGAAGAGCTCCTCTGGGTCGACAGTGGGGCCTCCTTTCCAGTAGCTCTGCCCGGAGCTGCCAGCCCCAGGATCGAAGCCAGCGGAGCCATAGGTGTCATACTGCTTCCTCTTCACCTCATCACTCAGAACCTATGGTGAAAGGCACAGCCGTCAGGGTCTCCCAAGCCTCCTGAGGCCCAGGGACACGGCCGCCAAGTAAGGACAGTGGTATCATCTCAACGTGAAATTTCCTGATCCTGACAACGGTACTGCGGTTATGGAAAAGAATGTTCTTGTTCTTAGAGAATACACACACAGAAGCACTTAGGAATAGAGAGATACCCTGTCCGCGACTTCCTCTCAAATGGCTGGAGGATGCACGCGCGCACACACACAGGAGACGTATGATACCCTACATGCACATCCCGAGGCCCTTCAACGCGGCCGAAGTCTGGGAGGAGGCCCACTTTCACAGAGCTCTGTAGTTGTTCGGCGGCTGTTTGCTGTCCACTTCAGCCCTCTTCTTCCAGGGCAGTGGTGGTCTACTTTTATAACACCCACCATCCCACCAGACAGCGATGCCCTACGTAGGAGCGGGGTCATCAAATAGGTGTGGAACTACATAATCCAACAAGGAGTTCCCAGACCCAGCTACAAGTCCCAGTGACCTGGGGAGCTCGGTTGCTACAAATTACTGGATCCTGTTCTCTGTTGAGATTCCAAGTTAGATCTAGTGTGAGACCTGGGAATCTTGTTTCTCTTCTAGGAGGTGATCTGGTGCAGGGACACAACCTTCACACTTCTAACAAGTCAGGTCCCACTGGGCAGCACACTGACGCACACACACAGCTGAATGACAGTGACCGCACACACCGGCGGGCCACATACCTCATAGGCCTCTGCCAGCTGGGAGAACTTCTCCTTGGCTTTGGGATCATCCTTATTCGTGTCTGGGTGATACTTCTTGGCAAGCTAAGGGAGGAAATAGTCAAATTACTATGAACATAGGATGATTACTAAAACTGAACCCCAGATACCAGTCACAACCTCACGTCCTTTGTAGCAGTTGTCTAAGATTTTGCAACCAATAGCAATTCTTAAAACAAGGTTTTAGACTTTAAAATAAACCATCTCTAACTAGACTTATTGTGATGATCATTTCACAGTGTATACAAATATTGAATCATTATGTTGTACATCTGAAACTAACATGTCAATTATACCTCAATGAAAACAAACAAAAAGCAAAACACATGCAGCCAGAATTAAGAACATACACTCCATGCATTGTGTTCAGTTTTCAAATTTGACCAAAAGTTTATTATTTAAGGGTAATAAATAAAATAAAATAAAATAAAATAAACCTTTTCTTCAAATCTGAGGTATATACACATTTTTCAACCATAACAAATCTCTAACAAAAATAACAACTAATTCTTTAGAACGGGCACCATTGTGAAAGACACAAAGCAGTGTATCTAGTAGATTATCACCTTTGTAAAAAAAAAGAGGACAATAATTGGATAGGTAAGTAGGTGTATCTGCTATATAACTTAATTCTAGAAGAACATACAATAAACTGGAAACACCGACTGCTACTGGAGGGATGGAGATGAACGGGAAGGAGGAAGGCTTTTCACTGTGCACTCCTTTGCACTTTCTGAATTCTCAAAAAGAGAATGTATTACCTACTCAAAACATAGATTTAAATCTTAAAAAACAAAACAGGATCTCAGCAAGCACACTGGCATGCTGAGCAGCTCTAAAATGAGGGCCTCCTCCTGGCCACACCGAGAAGTGCTGTGTGCTCTGCAGGTCATCACTGTGTTTGCTGAGGCTCCTGATTCATTCCAAGTCTGGATCACCCTGATGTAAGGGTGAAGAGGGCACAGACTCCAGAAGATGAAAGTGGCTCAGGAGGCGTCTGGCTCCGTCACTGCCAGCAGCTGGCTGCTTACTCTGCTCCTGGAGATGCTGGACCTCACTCCAGCACAAGGAAGCACAATAGAGGCTGTGTGCCAAGTCTGAAGGGGGCTGTCTAGGCACGGGCCATACACCATGGTAGGTCACAGAGATGGTCCCAAGGTCTTGATCAAGGTCTAACCTCAGTAACTGCTCCATAGAGACTATGTTTTAAATTTCCAGTTTTAAATTACACAGCTCTACCTGATCCTTTCACTTCCACACCTGAAAACTTGGATGGTTCCCTACTGTCTCTTCAATTCAATCTCTAGTACTTGCTAATGGCCTCGTATGCCCCATTAAGGTGGCCCCACCCTCCGTCTCCCCAACCTCCTCCCACCCTTGCATCAGCTCAAAAGACATGCTATTCACTATCCCAAGCCAGGATCTCTGCTTCCTACCTCCAGTCCTTCCTCATTCCCTTACAGCCCAGTAATAAAAAGACAACTCAATTTAAAAATGTGCAAAGGAGTGGGCAGTATAGCTTAGTGACAGAGTGCTAGCTTAGCATGCACAAGGTCCTGGGTTCAATCCCCAGGATCTCCAAAAAAAAAGATAAACCTAATTACCGCCCAGACCCTGCACACAAAAAATGGGCAAAGAATCTGAATATATACATAGTAAATGGCCAATAAGCACATGAAAAGGTGCTCAACATCATTAGCCACCATTGAAAAGCAAATCAAAACCACAGTGAGACACCACTTCACACCCACTAGGATGACTTGAATCAAAAAGACAGATAACAAGTGTTGGTAAGGATATGGAGAAACTGGAACCTTCACAAAGGCTGGTGAGAATCTAAAACAGTGCAGCCACTTTGAAAGAGTTCAGAAGTTCCTCAAAAGGTTAAATGTGGCAATTAGAATTACTATGAACTGATCCAGCAAGTCCACACCTAGGTATATGTACATACCCCAGAGAAATAAAAACATAGGTCTACACAAAACTTACACATGGATGTTCACAGCAGCACTACTCATAATACCAAAAAAGTGGAAACAATCCAAATACCCACCAACTGATGAATAGGTAAATAAAACATAGTATATCCATGCAATGTAATGTTATTTGACCATTAAAAGGAATGAAGTACTGATATGTGTTATAACGTGGATAAACCTGGAAAACATTATTCTAAAGTAAAAGAAACCAGTCACAAAAGCCCACATATCACATGACTTAACTTCTGTGAAATTTCCAGAATAGGCAAATCTATATATAGAAAGAGTAGGTTAACAATTTTAAGGGCAGAAGAGAGAGAACGGGGAATAAGTGCTTATGGTATGGGGTTTCTCTCTGAGGTGCTGAAAATGTTCTTAAATTAATTGTAGTGATAGTTATACAACTCTGTGAATATACTGAAAATCAGTAAATTGTACACTTAAAAAAAAAGGCAAAAGGAAGGAGTAGCTATCCAAGCCATAAGCTGTTAGGTCTGATCTTGATCAGTATTTGGTTCACAAACATTAAGCTTAGACAAAGTTTTTGTTTGCCCACAAAAAAAAAAATAAGGAAGGAAAATCAAGACTTTAGAGAAAAATTTTCATAAAAGTAATAAATAAAAATTTTTAATTTTATTTAATTTACTAACTTTATTAAATTTAATCTTCTTCATTCTTATATTATGATTTTCCTATTTTTATGTTAAGGTGCTCTTTCTTTTATCAAATGGTGTTAATAGATTGTATTTAATTACTTTTAACATCTATATTAGGCAAAATACAAAAGTTAGTATTCCTACATCAGTGCCCTCAGTCTTTTTTTTTTTTGGTCAGAGTAAAAGTCCAGAGACCACCGGTCCACGTGCCACTTCACCCATCAGCCCAACACATCCTGGGCCACGATGGTGGGAATGTCAGTTTCTGGGTTAAGAAAAGAATTCTAAATCCATAAACTTTTAGCTGAATGCAAAGAATGACGATCTAAAATAAAACTCAGACCAGTATATCTACTGATCAGAAGATGCAGAATAAATTTAAGTACAAAAACAGCCCTGGAAAAAGATTTTTTTTCAACCTTTGGTTCTGACTCTCCTCTTTATTCTGAAGCACCAACCAGCATGGCATCATGCACTTGAGGGACATGGCCCAGCGAAGCCCACCTTTATCATTTCGTTCCACACTGTCAGCTGCGCACAACCGACACGTACGAGCATATACCCTGCAATGCTCAGGATCAGACTAGATCGACAGCTTTCCTGTCTCTAAAATGTGGCTTCCATACACACCTGATAATAGGCTTTCTTGATCTCCTTCTGGCTGGCACTTCGGGGCACTCCTAATATCTGGTAATAATCCTCTTTGGCCATAGGGGCGCTCGTGTGGAAGGAGGCAGTGCAAACAAAAGGGTAACATTTCACTCCTAAAAAAAGAACAAAGAACAAAGAAAAGAAAATCACTCTGGAAATGTACTCAACAAAAGGTAACTGAGTCAACAACCAGCAGGGTAGTACCTGTAAAGGAGCAAACACGTCACAGCTTTAGGGCCTGTTCTCCTCCAAGCCCACTGCAGACCAAACTCACGCACTTCAAAAACGGCTAAAGCCACTGTATGTGAAGACTATAAAACAGCGTTGGACGGGGCTGATTCTGGCTGGATTACACTAGGGCTGTAGCCTCACTGTACCTCTTAAGGAACCGCACCCCAGATGGGGGCTGCACCTGAGATGACTGAAAAGGGACTTCGCTCTCCTGCTCCACTGTCGGAGCACGCGCCAGGTGCCAGGTACTCCCACATGTCTTGTCCCACTCAGTGCTTAACAACTCCCAGGTTCTTCCCCTCGACCATGCAACCCTGGGTATCTGCTTACGGGGTAGTTCTCAGAGTGTGGTCCCTGAACCAGCAGCATCATCAGCTTGTCAGAAATGTAAATTTTCCAGCCCCACCGAAACCTGAATCCAAAATCCTGGAGGTAGGGTCCAGCAAGCCCTCCAGGTGATGATTTGAGAGCCACGGTGCTAAAGAAATGGTCCCCGGTCTATAGTCATAGATCTCTCTGAGAGAATCCGATAAAAGTGCTGAGCCCTCCCCTAAAAACAATATGTACACATATGTATATACACACACACACATGTGTGTATATAGAGAGACACACAAGGTTAAAGGGTCCTGTCCTGAAACCTCTGTTCACCCCAGAGTACACAACCCGAAAGGGATCAACACACAAGGCTGCTCCCCTTCGTCCCCTCTGCACCCCCCCCCCTCCTTTCAGGCCTCTTGCATCAGCAGCTGGGAGGAAAGGCTGACAGACACATGTACTCAACTGCCTTCTGGGTATGGAGCAGAGTCCTAGCTGGACTGGCCCATCACCAAGTGAAGGGAGGAGGCTGCTCTACAATTTTAAGTCCTGCCTCCTAACCCCCAACCTATCCTGTGACAACTGAAGATGGGGAGGGCGGGGCGGGGTTGGGGAGTAGAGGCCAAGTTAAGGCTGAAGAGGGAGCAGAAGTCAAGAAAGGGAATGAGAATCATGAGGCAGCTCCTGGCGTTAAGTGGAAGGTTTGCCTGCCAAGGAGAAGCTTCTGGATTCAGCACTCATTCATTCAGCAGTCACTCACTGAGCAGCTCTGCTCGCCAGGCACTGGGCTCCAGCAGCAAACCATTCAAAGGCCCTGCCCTCTAGGAGCTTACATTCATTCCAGACCTTAACACTGTACTAGGCACCGAGGATACAAGATGAAAAAGAGTCAAAGTCAGTGCCCTCAAGGAGCGTACAGCCCCACAGGGAAGTGTGAGAGGCCATGTGTGAAATGGTATTAGCACGCAGGGATGCAGAGTGAGAATACACAAAAGGGTCACCTAACCTGGGTCTCTCAACCTCCACACTACTGATGGGATCGGGTTCTTCTCATGGGTCGGGTGGAGCACAGTACTATTGTTATGGGCTGAATTGTGACCACCAACCCCCAAATTCCTATGTTTTAAGTCCTAACCCCCAGCTTTTCAGAATGTGACTGGATTTGGAGATGGGGTCTTTAAAGACAACCTTGCTAAAACACTGGTCGTGGAATTTTACAGCCTCCAGAACTGTGAGAAAATAATTTCCCATTGTTTAAGCCATTTAGTCTGTGGTACTTTGTTATGGCAGCCCTATGTATTTATTTATATCCTAATATATCTAGGTATTTATAATACAGTGTTTTTAGCAGCAGCCCTGGTCAACCAGTTGCCAGTAGCACCCCCCCTCCAAACTAGCCACTGAAAACATCTCCAGAGATTGCCAGATGTCTCCTGGAGGGTAAAATAACTCCCAGTTGAGAACCACTACAACTCTATCTCAGAAATTCAGGGTAGGTCTTCTAAGGCACCTGTTGTTAAGCTGTTAAAACTAGCTAGGCTAAGGAGGGCTTGAATCCATCCAGATTTATGCTTGTAGTCCCAACACTGTTTGCAATAGCACCCTCTTTCACTTTCAAAAGCACTCCATTTAGTAGCTAAATCATACGATCACCTTTGGTTTGGAGGGAGAAAGTTCTTGTGCATTTAGGAATTGTAGGTACTGTGATGTAACTAGAGAGAGAGGGAGAGGGGGAGAGAGGGGGAGAGAGTGTGTGTGTGTGTGTATGTGTGTCAAGGACCTTCTGCATTTCAGTGCAGATACTATGATGTAACTAGATTGGAGACTCATGGGGGCGGGTAGGCGGGTGATAGAGATGATGGTGATGATGATTAATGAGGCCTGGGAATAAAGAGAAGGGCCTTTGAACTATGCTAAAGAGCCTGGATTTTATCTTGAGGGCAATATGGAGCCTCAGCAAGTGCTAAACAGAGAATCAACCAGATATGCATGAGAAAGAGCTCTCAAAAAAAATAAAACAAGGATCGGGAGAATACTTAAAATTTATGGGCATGGAGGGCTGAGCATATCCAGGAAGCTGGCAGGATAAAGGATAATCAGACAGAAGAATGAGGAGGAATGGTCAGATTGATTAAAATCAGAACCAGGAAGCAGATCTATATTTTCAGTATCCCCGTTACTTGTTCTCTGTTGCTGCAGCTTAGATTTTCTGGCACATGAAAAGCAGACAGGGTGGGAGCAGTAGGGATTAGAGACTACTGTTATGTTTCTCCAATCAGATTTGAGAAAAACACCAGAGCTAGTTTCTTAGTGCTCCTGTACTCAGCCCTGCTTCACTCAGGAGGGAGAGGTTACCTCGACTCATCTTGCCTCTCCTATCACCCCTTCCAATCCAGAAGGCGGAGGCTGGTAGTGGCAAAGGCTCTGGCAGCTGCAGCTTCAACATCATAAGAGAATTTAGGCTTGGGTTAGAACAGGGGACAGCAATGTGCAAAACTGCATATAAACACAAATCACATTTAACTCATACAAGTTTGATGACTTCTGACATTATCCCAAAGGTATCAATGATTAGCAGTAATTAGAAAGAGTTCATTTAATAGACACATTTTCCCCCAAGATATGACCAATAAATGTCCCGCCCATTTTAGAATAACCCAGAAGAGGATTAGTCTCCAAGTCGGTCCAAGAATGGCCAACCCAGTGTGAAATAACTACCTTCTGCTCTGGGAGAAAAGTCGGATTTAAAGTGTTGTTTTTACATCATCTAATTGCACTACTGGACTTGAGATGTTTGGGGGATGAGTTCATGACTTTAGATGTGGTAATAGAGTGCACCTTGAAGGATGCCACCTCTCACATGTGTTCATCACCTGATACAAAACATGCCCATTGTGGGCACTGGGCTCACTCGGGGAAAAGGAAAGCTGACTGCAATTCCTTACACATCAGGCTCAGCACTTAGTGCTTGTCTGTCTCTCACCCACGCATACACAATTACCAAAAAATGTTCCCCAAACCTGTACAAATGTGGTATGAACAAGTTTAGCTTAATAAGCATCAAAAGAATTAATATCTGAGCAAAAAGATGCAGTCAAATTCTATTCCAAACAACCTTGACATTAGAAAACATTAGCAAAACCTAAAAATGACTACTTTTGCTCATATTGAGAAATACAGCGTGACATGGATTCAAATAACCCTGAGGAAACCTTGATTACTGCTCCATCCATGAAGAAATATAAGTGGTAGGAACAGAATAAAAAAGTGGGATCACGTGACCAAAATCACATCCAATCTCTTTGGTCTTTGCTATATCCCCAGTACCTATAACAGTAACTGGCATATGACAAGCCCTCGATATATACCTATTAAAATTTTTTTCAGTTAAGGAATGGAAGGCACAAAAGGATTACATAATTTGCTCGGGTCTCACACACGCTACTGGAGTAGTGTTCACTGTATAAGGTAATCACAATTACTGATATTTTAATAACTAGCTATTATGTAAGCATTACAAAACTGGATCTCAATAGGAAAGCATCTTGTGTAAACTACCTTGTCAGACCCTTTAATTAATCATCTCTGTAAGTTTATAGATAGTTTAAACTATCATTTGTACAAATTCTAGGGGACACAAACATCTAGCACAATTCAGGCACATAGTTGGGTGTTCAGTGTTTCCTCCTTCCTTATCTCACTATAAGGGAAGTCATTCAACACATAACATAAGAAACCATCATGGCTAAGCACTTAAAAGGCTCAGTATATATTAATTCAACATCACTTCCAGCATTAAAAAAGCAGGAGGTTTTGAATCACGACTCTCCCACTTTCTAGCTTTGTGACATCCTACCAGTTACCATCTAAGCCTCAACTTATTTATCTATAAAACAGAACAATAGTCTCTATCACGTGGAAGTGATCCATGCCTGGTACATAGGAAATGCTCAATAAATATGAGTTTGCATTTTTAGCAAAATAACCAACATAAAGATTTCTAAAAAACAGTAAGCGTGCCTTCCAATTTACACCGTGTGATGGAAAGAGCGTAGTTCTGAAAGAACAGCTTTGGGTTTGGGACAACTCTTCTTATCTAACTTTATGACCTTGGGAGGGTCAACTCCTCTGCTAGAACCTCAGTTTCCCATTCTTTAAAATGGGGATGATGATCCCCACGTTGCAGGGCTGCTGTTAACAAGTGAGATGAGGCACAAGGTGCTTAGCTAGCCCAAGAGCAGGTGCTCACCGAATGGCCGTTACCTCTTCCCTTCCTCTACAGGCTAAGAAGTAGAAAGGAGGGAAAGGAATCGGGCAGAAGAACAGCGGCAAGCCGGAAAGAGGCCTCCAGAAATGTTGACAGAGAGGTGAAGGTTCAAGGCCTGCGGGGCGTTTCATCCCCGCCGCCGGGGGCTCCACGCAGCTCTCCTCGGTTCACCGCTTCTAAATAGCCATTTGAGCCTCTCTGCCTCCTGCGTGCCCATCACCCGAAGTGATTCCGCAGGTAGGTCGGAAGACAAACTCCACCCCGCAACCCCCGTAACTGGAGCGAAACGAGTCACTCCTTTCCCCTCACTCGGGGGCTGGAGCCTGCCCTCACCTGTAAGGCTGACACCGGGTCTCAATGTCAGCAGCGCCCCGGAACCGCGAGCTCGCAGGGAAGGCGCGAAGGCGGTGACGCTCAGACTGCGGCCCAGCGATGCCCCCACCACGCCCCCCACGGGCGGCCGGGCTCCTCTCCCCGCTGCAGCCGGCAGCCGCGGGAACCCGACGGCTACAAGCAACCAGCGTGTGGAGCACCGCGCCGCCATCTTGGGCCGGGGACACTGCGCCTGCGCCACCCGGCTCAAGGCGGCCTCACGAGGACAACGCACGCACGCAGCGCCGGAGCTTCCGGGGGCGGGGCCTATTGCGCGCCCAGGCAAGAACTCGTCTTTTGCATGCGCATCCTTACCCAATGCAGTTCCTTGGTAGCCTATGCTGAGATGTTTGCTCTAAGAAGTGCTACTAAGTAACTTGCCTTGAGGAGCCTCGTCATTCCGTGCTGGACGACCAAGACTGCACCTTATCCGTGTAAGGACGAGGTCGAGCGTAGCCGAATGTAACTAGTCTGGGGGGGGGTGGTCTTGGCAAGGGCCGGACTACAAATCCCGGCGTGCAATGCGACCGTCAGTCTCGCAGATTCCAGCGTGCAGTGCGGGCTTCCCTCCTCCTGACCCTGAGACTTAGTTATCCTTGCGTGAATCTTACTCACCCGATGTCCTCGGGTGGCTGGAGTCTCTGCCCTCTTCTCAAAGCCAGGCCTCAAGCTCACTTTCCCTCTGGCTGATTCCCATGATCAGGAGACTGTGATCGCTCAGCTCTCTCCTAAGCGTGTTAGCCTTCTCCAAACGTGTAGTGAACTTGCCGATCGCGGAATGCGAGCTGAGCTACCCAAAAACGAACTTAATAAATGTTGTGAGCACCTACTAGGTGTAACGCATGTTCTAGAATGTCGGGGATACAATGATGGATGACATACCATCCCTGCTTTGGAGGAGTGCACGATGAGTCGAGAGGGACAGGCTACTTAGCAACTAGATGACATGATCAGTGCTATCGTAGGTATAAACAATTACAGGCACACAGGTAAGAGTTTCTCAGACAGAGGTTGGGGCATTGGGGTGTCAGGGAAGGCATCTGAAAGGTTAATAACATTCAAGTTGGACTTTGGTGAAAAGTGCACCAGGTAGGAGTGGAGGGGGAAAGTATTCTAAGTAGCAAGAACTTCAAAAGCAGATGTCTAAAGATGTGAAAGTGCTTGCCCTGTTTCCTTATGCTTTAAACTTGACGCGTGTGACTAAGGATGAGGCTAGAAATGTAAACCTGGCCTAGTAAGTCCTGCGAAGAAGTTTCCACTTTCACACTCCCATCACCACCATCCCTAACAATAGGAAGGGAACCTGAAGGCTACAGGATGAGTTTAAGATGATCTGTGCTTCTTGCCCCCTCCCCCATTATGCAGGAAACTTTTATGTATGTGGATTTTAATCTGGGGTAATATCCATAGTGTTCATCAGTCAAATTCTCCACAGGCTGTGAGATTGAAAGGTTGAAAATCACTGGTCCGGTGAAGAACAGTTATGAAGCTGTTGTAAACTGCAAGGAATAGTTTAGAGTTTGGGCTAGGGAATTTAGAGGACTGAGATGAGCAAGGGGCATTTTAGAGAAACAAGGAAATGTCATAGGATGGGAAGTAGAAAAAGTTTTTTGTTTTTTGTTTTTATAGTCAACAAATATTTAAATGTCTCCAGCATAGTGGTTAAGAATAAGAGTATGGACTCTGGAGTCAGACTGCCTGGGATTGAATCCCAGCTCTGCTACTTAATAGCTGTGTGTCCTTGGGCAACTTACTTTACCTCTCGGTTTCCTTTCTCTAAAATGGGAGACATAATAGTAACTACTTAAAAGAATCATCTGAGGGGAGTGAGATAATCCATGTGAAGTCTTCATACTATACTTGGCACATAGTAAGTGCTCAATGTATGTTAGTCCTATGCTCCAGGCTCTGTGCTAAACACTGGGAATACCAAGCCGAATTCACACAGTTACTTGCCCATGGGAAGCCCAAAACCTAAGGGGAGGAGAGGAGGGAGCTGGTTGAGAAGTACAGCTTTCAGGAATAAAAGCTGAGAACAAGAGCCAAAGGGACTTTCATTTACCATCTCAGAGTGAGTTAGCAAGTAGAGGAGGGCTCACTAATATGAAAACTCTGTCAGCTTCCTAACTTCCTCATTTTGGGGTATTTTAGTCCCCCCAATTTATTTCCCCAAAGTGATTAACAGTGAAAATCCTCCACATTGAAAGGTGGTGTGTGTGTCCTTATTTTAGGGGATAGCAGGAAAGTTGATTGTTAGAGAGCCCATATTTCCTCTTATGAAGCAGAGAACCCCAAGGGAATCGAGTGTGTGACGGTGGCTACCAAAGGCAGGAAAACAGAACCCAGGACAGAACCCAGGAAGCCTCTGGCCAGACTCCCTGTCTCGGCCTGTGTGTGGTTTCTCTCACTGCTAGTCACCATAGAAAAATAGGAGATGACACAATTACTGAACATGGGTAGCTTACAACGCTTGAGAAGTCCTCACAGTAGTGGTCCTTGGTTTTCGCTTCCTGAATCATCTTGAGTTGATGGTTGTTTGAATATACTTTTTTGTGAAATGAATATCCTTTTTTAAAATGATCTCCAGGCCACAGTGATGCCAAGTAGGAAAGTAGCAGTTTTGGAGAAGATAATGAGTTACTGTTATTTGGACGTCTATGGGGCCAATTTCAGGCAATTGGTGGCCATGGAAAGATCTGAAAACCTTAGCTATGCTAAGAACGGTCTCCTTCTAGTTCCCAAAGAACTTTCTCGTGTTTTTTGTTTTGATACAATTACAACCCTGTGGGTAAGTAGGGCAGAGGCTATTCGCATTTTCACAAATGGCGCCGCCCTCCCAGCCCTGCAAAACAACCCCAAAATAAGCTCTGAAAAATCAGAAGACTTGTCCAAGGTCACACAGCTAGTGAGTCAGTCAACTAAGATCTAACAGCAAGACCAGATTCCTTTCAACTGTGTGCTTTCATAAATTGTGGTCGGTAGTTCTCAGTCATATATCCCTTGATAGTTTACAGAGCACTTTCTCATGCAGAATTTCATTTGCTTCTCACAACAAGGGGAGGCAGGGCAAGTATTTATTACCACCATCACCTGCAGACTTTCACTGCCATCCAAGGACTTCAGCTGTGAAGGAACACAAACGATCCATCCCCGTCTTGTTGCCATAAACGGGGATGAACACATGGGCCACACCTACCCACACTTTTAGACAGAATATGTCATGGGTCCCCTTCTCCTCCCGCCCCCTGACACTGCCCCCTTCTCCAATCTAAAGCCAAAAACTTTAGCTTTAAGGAGAAACAGATGTTACTTACAAAAGGCACACAAGTTTCGCAAGCATCTCCCCTTCTGCATTTCTCATTTTACTATTCCACTGGGCCCTTTCCAGCTTTCCTGAAGCGGGGAGATCTGTGAGACCCAGCAGGGAATTTAAGTATGGTCCTCCAGTGTGCCGGGCTGAAGGCAGAGGGAGACAAGAAGGTCTAATCTACGACTTCCAGTGGAAACTGACCATCTGAGGTACAGTGGGGCTGGCCAAGTCCATGGCTACGTGATGGATGGCTGTTCCTTCCCCACATGATTTAGGAACCCCTCCAGGGAGGGAGGAAGGGCCTAAGCCTTCAGAGGCAATAAAAGCTAGCTCAGGATTTCTCTAGTCATTTCCTTTCCTCCCCAAGAGAATATGGGACAATTCCAAGGGGCTGTGGAATGTGGGACCCAGATGTTCCCACATACGACCTCGGCAGTGGGTACGGTTCCCTGCAGAAGGAGGAGATGAACTATGTTCTCGCCTGGCTCCCCTGGGTATTCCCCAGTGGGACCTCCGTGCTAATGATTTCCCTTTAAATAAGCCACAAATGGCCCCAGCTGCCAGCCAAATACTCTTCTGCCCAAACTAGGCTTAAACTTAAGCAATGTTTCACAAACCTGAGAAATGAAAGGAACTCTTATAAGGGGAAAAAACAAAATCACAGATGCTGAGAATAAACCTCTGGTTCCCCTGGTGATCAGTAGACTCCAATGTGAAAGATGTCACCTTAGAAAAGGACAGTCTTTTTTATGAAAACATTCTGTAGTTGTGAATTATCATCACATAAGTTAAAGTTTGTGTTTCTGTTAAAATATTTTGCAAGTTCTTGTAAAAAAAAATCAAAAACAAATCACTGGTTGGAGTAAGACTTCATAGTCCCAAGAACACATGGGTACACCTCCATAAACAACAAAAGAATAACACAAGGTGCACTGTTAATGTTCTTCCCCATTTTTGAAATGTATTTTGTTGCTTCACTGTTCGTTCCTGTGCTGAAATAACTAGTTACCTTTCTGTGCTGTTCCTAAAATGAACAAGGCAGGGCTTGTGTATAAAAATGTTTTTAATGTGTATTTTAATAAACAACCATTTCAGGGGCAGATAACTAGCTTTAAATACTCTGTTGTTGGCACTGAAGCTGTCCTCATCCACCCCTCTCTTGCAAAAATTCTAATTTATGGGAACTACTGACTTCACAGAAGATTAAGGGAACATTATGGTGGAAACTTGTTTCTTTGGCATCACGGTTTAAAATAAAGATGCATCCTAAGGCTCTTTAATACTTTGGTGTGGATTTTTTGCTTTCTTCTTGCTTGTTCCTTTTCTTTCTGCTAATATCCCTTCCTTCGGTTACATGAAGTATTTTGAGTTTTCTAGGATGAGGACTTCACTACAATTCACTACAATTCCCAAATTCTTGTTCGTTATTAATTATTCTTGGAAATAGGACCTATGAAATTTAAATCATTCTGCCAGGTGCCAAGCTAACCAGACATCCTCCCCCTGCTGGAATTTGATCTGCCCTTTGATAGATTGCCTTTTATGGTAGAGTGGTGTCTTCTAGCATTCTTCTAGACAGACAGTGAAGTGGAGTTTCTAGGAGTGCAAAGAGACAAAGCTGATGACTTGCAGGCTTGAAGGACTGGAAGGTTCTTGCAGGCTGTCAGTTCAACTTTGCAATCCATGAAGTTATTTATTCTGCTCAAGTTTGCAGCAGCCTTAGGGCTCTGAACTCTACTAGAGTAATTTTCTCCAGCCATAATGGACCTGGGAACATGTGAGTTGCTCCCTCATCCTTTGATAATGTCCCTCTGGCTCTTCCCTCTCCCTTGCTGTGGCACTCAGGTTGGTCACCATGGCAACGGAAAAGTGGACATTCTCCTACTTTGCT